AGGAAGAAATTTTTTACTCAGAGGGTGGTGAGGCAGTGGAAGAGGTTGCCTGGAGAAGTTGTGGCTGCCCCATCCCTGGAAGTGTTCAAGGTCAGGTTGGATGAGGTTTTGGGCAACCTGGTGTAGTAGAGGGTTTCCCTGCCCATGGCAGGGGGGTTGGAACTGTATGATCTTTGAGGTCCCTTCCAACCCTAACCATTCTATGATTCTATGATTCTATAATTACCAATGCAACATATATTGTTTAATCAGAAAGTTCTGTTGCTTTAGGCATTGGACAAATAAGAGATTGTTCTGAGAAACAACTGGTTTTTTAAATGACATTGCATCATTTGATATACTCAGTCACAAATTTAGTGGAAGATTAAAACATACACTTCTGAGTGAGTCTACTCATTAGAAATAGGTACAAGCATCAGATAATTTACACTGTTTACTAGGCAAACAGAAATGGCTACAAATACTACTAGTTATGGAATTCAATAGACCATTGACTTTTAGAAATATTAAATGAGAAAATGTTTCCAACATTTTTTTGGCACAAATAAGCAGTCTGTTTTCTTTAATGAATACATTGACTAAAGTCAATGAGAACCACAAGCTTTCAATACTTCTGAATATCAGGCCTCTCTTTTTAAAGGCCCAAATACAGATTTAGGAGACAGGTATGACAATGTATATAGCATGTTGCTTATTGCTTCTAATAAAACCACATCAGAAAACTACCTGACATGCAACTGTTGTCAAAGAACATAATTTACCAGAAAACCTCTGCTAAAATCCTTTTCTGAACAGGAAAATCCTGTTCCACCTCCAAACCAAGTTTGGAGAGAGAAGAAAACAAGATCCTTTATAAATCTGGCTACCAAAACCAATAGAAGCATTCCCAGTTCTACATCATTGGAAAGGGATTCTGAGATGGAGAGATACTCAGAAGTCTAAGCTTGTTCTTGAGTAGCTGGTCTGTGAGCCAAAGCCATAACAACCACCTTTTTGATGCTGATGGGTCATTTCTCTATGTTGAACACTCAAAGTCCTAAGTTTTGTTGCAAGTGACAGAAATATATGCCTAATTATTTAGGCTCCCTTGCTGTCTTTTGGAGGGAATTTTGCAGAGAAAACAGCATGCTTTTTAAAGTCCCAGACACATAAAAGCAAACATGGCAGAACACTTCCACTTACAAGCCAACAAGCACACAAATTTCTGGCTAGACCTTACTTAAATGCGATTTACTAAAAGTTTCATGAAAGAATGTGAATTCCTTTTATTATTGCTTCTTATTCTTTCCTGCTCCAAATCTCTTCTGACCCACAAAATTGCTATACATCATTAGGTTAGGAAATCAGTTGTGTCAATTATTAGTCTCATGATATTACATCTTTCAGCTGCTAGAATTCTGTGTTTACCTGAGAATCTTGCGTTTCATTTAAAAGTATGTTTCTGGTTCTGGCCCTCATCGTTTCAGCGAAAAGCTAGAAAAGATGAACTCGAGGGACTCAAAAGGCAGAACAGATATAAAAAGGATGAATAAATAAGATAAATGTATGTTCGTTGTTGTGAAGATCTCATGAATTTTTAGTCAATTTCTCAATTTTCTTAGTCTAGAGTTGTGGGTTTTTCCATGTTGCAACAGAAGAAAACAAACCAGGAGTAAGACACCTGCACTTCCCTCCTTACAGCTGTGCAACTTGTGTTCACTCTTACCCCCTTCTCGACAGGAGCCCAGGTTAGGCTACACTTGGAAGCTGACCTAATGCTGCTGTGAAATGGCCAGCAAGTGTCACTGCAGACTGAAGCAAAGTTTGTGCCTCTCCTTCATAGAATCATAGAATCATAGAATGGTTAGGGTTGGAAGGGACCTCAAAGATCATCTAGTTCCAACCCCCTGCCATGGGCTTGGAAACCCTCCACCAGACCAGGTTGCCCAAAGCCTCATCCAACCTCGTCTTGAACACTTAATTCATAACTAAATATGAAAATGTTTGAGGCAGCCATGAGAACTGAAAGCTGGTGAGATGAGTAACAAAATGGCTTTGCAGACTGACTGCACATTGTGTTGCACAGAGGTCGCTGGGCTGATCAAAGTATACCACATAGTTTCCACAAAGCCAAGTACAGGACCTCGCATAAGCTGGGTAATGATCTTAACTAATTGTATATCAGTAATTCTATCATCTAAATATTCTAATAATAATGGAAAAAACCTGCCAAACATATTCAACAGGATTTGAATTTTGACTATAAACAAGAAACAGTAGTTAACGCGGAGAAGCACACTTTTTTCATAATATTCAAAAATAGAATATAATGAGAAGCAACCTAGAGGAAGGAAGAAAGGGCTGCTTTGTGGTTAGCGCCAAAGATTAAGGTCACCGTAGCTGGGTTCTACCCTGACACAGCCATTGACTTTCTGTGAAAACCTGGAAAAGTCACTTAATCTTCTTCCATTTTATTTCCTTTGTTTCTAAAAATGGGATAATAATACCTCTCTTGAAAGTTCATTAATGTTTGTGCAGCATGAACAGGCCCTTGGCTGGATAGTACTATAGAAATGCTAAGTATTATTATTGCACAGCAACATTCCAAAAGAAAAGTAATGCAGTAGTACATTCTTTAATAAAAAGAACACTAACATTAATATGGCATGATTTTTTATAAAAGAAAACAAAGAAGTCAAAATAATTTCCTACTAGTGAATTTAACAACCACTCCCCCCACCACCTTGTTCTCATCTTGGGACCCAGCTGCATGTGAACTCTACATTAAATTCATCCTCCAATTGCAGAATGAAAGGAAAACACCTGAAAAATTAAATAACTGCTTTTCCTAAGGCATAAGTGTAATTTAAAACATAACACTGTGGAAGGAAAATCAACAGTATTGTTGAGTTTATTTTATTAAAAATGTTTCTCTGTGTGGCTATGTGTTTAATCGGGATAGTGCAGCACAATAAATTTCCATTAAGAAACAATAAGTCACTTACCACAGTGAAAGCAATAATAAGGTTAAACTCTTAAGTTAAGTGGAAAGTAAGTCAAACTAAACCCCAGCAGGTTTTCTACTAGTGGCATAGCTAATGTTTTTGAAAATGTTCTAAATGTTCTTTCTCAAATATATGTATTATACATTGCAGTATTGTTAATTATATCAATTTTCTCTTTTATATACTTCCCCAGGAGATCAGCAAAGAATAGAAAACTTACTTATAGTGAATTTCAGATTTAATGAGACAAAGATGCTTTAATATATATGACAAAGTGATGTGCTCTCACCATATTTGATAGGTAATTATTTTTTATACTCTAATGGCTATTATTTTGAAAATAATTAATGTATTATTTATGTAATTAATACATAATCAACTGAGTAATGAAATACTCTGATTACATCATGGTGGGTACTATCCTGTTTAATATCTCTAGAGCTCTTGGCATGACATCATGTCATATAGATATTAAAAGGTTTCATTTGAGAGATTTATGCATATTCCAAATACGTAAGTAACATTGCTATGGTATTTCTGTTCATATATATATATATATATATATAAACATCATATCTTTAAAAACAAGTTTGTCTGACATTAGATTTTCAAACCATAGTTACGGAAATAAGATATATTCAGCATTTCCTATGGGAAACATGGATCTATTGCTGTGCAATTCTGCAAATCTATCAACAGTCTTTCACAACAGTCTTTCACAAACACTTTGAAGCTTGCTGATGGAACAAACAGAATCGGCATGATTTTTTCCCCCTTAGCAGAAGACCACAAATCATCCACAAATCATTCAAAAAACCAAACAATGTGGATGTCCTAAGAAAACTTAAAATTGCATTCGAATGGATGTGCTCAGGAACGTGAAAAAATCCTCACCAACTTTATCTACATTGACACAACCTTCTCACTAATCCTCATGTTCGGAAAAGGAAGAGTTAAGGAATGACTAATTGGGAAGACCGTCATTTTTCTGCTGTTGTTTCCTTGAACGTTTGTATAGAAAAAATATTTGGTTAGAAGTGTTTGCAACAAGCCCTTTGACGTAAGTATTTAATAAATTGCCCATCACCTTAAGAGTATCGCTGCCCTAGACACCCTGATGTACTGGTGGAAGAGAAAAACCTCTTTACCTCTAAAGCTCAACAATTGCTCGTGATTCCTTTCTTATCCTTTGGTCAAAGATCACTTGCAGAGTAAAGTGACTGGTAATGATGACTCAGGTGAGGGTTTAGTTAGAAGTGATAGCTATGAACAGAAGAAAATCACATGGTTCTACCAGTTTTGTTTCCTAACTTAATAGTCCTCTTTCCTAAACGGTCCTACTACTTTTGGGGAATGGAACAAAACATACAACCTCCATTAAGTCAGTTGCAAAGTTGAATGCTGGCCTTCAGTTGAAGGAGCTTATCCATCTGAATTTAGCATTATGACTACAGTTCTTTTCCCTCCTTTCCATAAATCTTCAGTTTTAGGCTTAAGATGTGGCCTAGATTAATGCAAATCTCATAGCATATGTCTTTTTCCACATACTTATTCACCTCAAACTTGAATGTTTTCTCATGTATGCTATATTTATCTCTCTCTAAGTGTGACCTCAAATAGGCTATTCTTGGCTCAAATGTGCAGACAAATAGGCTATTAAACTGATGGTCATGCAAGACATTAATTAATTTAACTGATGTAGGGAGTGAAATTCAGAGTGAAGCTTTTCGTGGCAAAACTCAGCTTTATCGTGAAGTAGAATGAAATAATCCTATTGCTTTTCCAATCGCAGTGTGATTAGCCCTCTAAAGCTCTCTTTTGCAAAAAAGTCTAAGGAATAAATATTATTGTAAAGATTCAATAAAATCAACATAAATGAACACATAGTACATAAATGAAGGCGAAAATATGAATATATGATTACATATGTACATGCATTGCATTATGTTATGTATAAGAGAAATATTTTATCCTGCTATAGTCTCTCTATGAAAACTATGATTGTTTTTTTATTACCTTAAAATATTGCAGTTGTTTCTCAGCATTCATTGTTCCTTCATTTTCTTGTCTCAGACAGGAATTGAAGATGAAAAGCTCTGTATCTCTCAGCCACCCTTTCAGCTCTTTGATCCTGACCTCCAGCTGCCTTACCAGGCTGCCGCTTTCAGGCGAGAGCAGGTCACGTGGACCTAACCCACTGTGCCCTACCATTGTGTCTTGGATCTTCTCTCCTAGGGTTTTCTAATACATCAAATAAAGAAAACATAGATTAATCTTATGTATCAAAACATATACAGGTTAATGTGCAACAAGAAGCATCTCTTAGATGACTAGAGATGTGGGTTTTTTTAGTAATTACTACTAATATCAATCAATTTCATTCTTTATTTCCTTGTTTCAGTCAATTTCATTTTTTGTATCCTTGTTTCTCACTTATGCTGTTCTCTCTGGGTCATTGACTTTGCTGGAAGCATGATAAATCAATGTTTATTAAGAGCAACTATGGACAGAGGAGACAAAATGGTACATAACTTTTTAAAGTAGTTACTCTACAGAGTTTGTCCATTGCTTTAGATGCTTATGACATGAGACTTATTGGTTTCACAGCACCAACAGAAAATACGACAAGCACTGAATTCACCAAACTCTTATCCAAGGTATCATCTATAGTTTTGGGGAAACACTGAGATACTGAAATATTTTTCGAGATATGAATCTGCCAGGTCATAGTTTCCAGACTTGTAGCCCTGAGGTTGTATACAAGAGCAGCAAGGTCATAAAATAAAGTCGGTTTGCTTTTAAAAGTGGATGAACTCCTTCAGATGCCAATAAGCTAGAAATTGCAAAGCCTCAATGTTCCTGAACATCAGGTCAATTATTTAGGCAACTAAATTCGGATTGAAGTTCTCCATGTTAAGCATCCACTTTAAAAATAATGGGCCAGAATAAACATTTACCTCTGATCGCTAATGAAACTAATTTACTACAGCTTTTCAAAGTAGTATCTCTAATAAAAGAACCACTGAATAACATTTTGATGGTGGACGCTGTGAGCATAATGAATATTCTGAAGAGGCCAGGGACAGAAAGTTACCTTCCTTTTCAGCGTTTGAAAGGCAATCCTTTAACATCACAAGGGAGATACGCTGTTGCCTGCTTCTTCTATGCCAAGCAGTATTTTATCTGACCTATAAGAGGCTGTCAGTCTGACACTTATTATAAGCACTAGATCTGTGTTGCTGATTGTAGAATATTGAATATACACTGACAATCACATCCAATAACCTTTTAAACTGATAATTAGCAGTGGTTAATTGTTATAACATGAAGACACAGTTTTAGGTGACCTAATACGGCCGTCTGTTGAAAATACATGCTTTAGAAAGTTACTGGAATACGATTTATAACAATGAAGTTAGCTTCCAAAAATAAGCTTTAAAAGACAAATAAAATTAGATCAACAGACATTAATCTACTCCATGGCATTCTGTAAATAATGTCCTTAGGAGATCATAACTGAAAAACATGCTTTCTTGGCAATACCCTTCTATTTTCATGGTGCAAATATTGATAATTTGAAGACCCTCAGTGGAATCCAGTGATAGCTATTGTTTTTATGCTGTAACAAAAGTAGCAGCAGGAGGTGAAATCAATGCCCTTGGAGGGTAGGGTCACAAAAAAGAATTTATTGCCACTTTTTTGTTCTGGAACAGTTTGCAATCATAAATTCTTCATAAACAGAATACTTCAGAGAATGGTCCGTCTTCATAAATATACGACAGAGGACATCAATTTCATTTAATTCACAATTTGTGTCAGCACAGCAGATGCCAATGCCTGCCTTGATAGGGTTGTTTAATATGCAATTGAGACAGAGTAATATTCAGCACAGGGGACAAAATTTCACAGATTAAACTGTACGCACCACTGACATTTCATTCTAATGTATTTCCATTCCACACTGTTCACCTTAGATGAAAGTAATATTAAAAACCATATCCCTCTATTTTACCATTGTTAGAAGTTAAAATCCTTGTCTTTAATTTTTTTCATGCCAATTAAAACGTAATCATGCCAATTAAAACAGTATGCCTAGTGCCGTTAGATTCTGCAGAGGTTTTTATTAAATTAAACAAAACTCTATCAAACTCTGCTTATTATTCATGAAATTGCATTTAGCAGGAAAACTGTAATAGTTATATTTTATTTTTCTGTAAATGCTGAAATTAATGGCAAAACTTAATCGAGAGGTATATTTTTATTTTAACATACCGAGAAGTGGAGGGATTCAATTTGTCTTAAGAGTTTTTCTAGATTTTTAGAATTACGATCAGTTACTTATCTCATGCTTTTATACCCTACCAGTTCTAAACAGTGCCACTGAATTAACCTGATTAAATACATTGAAAGTCATAAAGGTAAGGCTTACAAGTGAGATTATTTTAAAAATACAAGTTGTCATGATCAGATGTGAAAGACTAGGTTAATAAGTTCCATTTTTATCAGTAAATTTATTAATGTTCAAATATTTTTAAAATGCTTATGGTGATGCTGCAGATTAAAACTAAAAAGTAATAAGCTCACTAGTCATAAGGCAACTTTTAACATTTTCTGACAATTTGCACATTTAGGGAATCAAGTGATTAGAAACAACTGTGCTGAACTAAAAAAGCCCCACCCTCTGTAAAGTGGCTATTGCATTACCAAATAAGCTAAAATGACACAAGTCAGTATTTAAAATGCTGTTGGCAGGTTGCACATATAGCTTACTTGTAATATACTAGAAATGTTTTTTAAAGTAAGATAATAGCATGCAAAATTATGCAATGTAACTGTATTGCTAATATCACACATCTATAATTAATCATTTAAAGTAATTTATAAATTTATCTTACCCTTGATTTGAAGTGAAGGCAATTAAGGAGAGAAGTGGATGGAAAAATATATAGTTTGACCTCTCTCTCTCTCTCAGCTGTTTTACAACAATAGGACAATTGTGTCTCCTGCACGGTGCCATCACTGGTCTCTGGGTAACAGAATCACTATATTGCTTTTTTTGCCAGATTCTCGTATCTCACTCTTTGGCTGAGACCCAGCCCATCATAGCGTGAAATGAATTACATGAAACTTTTTTGGCTTTTGTCAAAAGTGAGCTGAATACAGCAGCATGAAACATATCCTGGCTGTATTCTTAGCGTCAGGTATTCAGATTTGTACTGCATCTGCATATTTGTTTTTGAGCCATCAGTGTGACCTGAAATATGCAGTGACAACCCCACTTTTCATCTTAAGGGTATAGTAAATAGTTAAACAGTAGATGTCTCTAACATGTACCTTCAGAATAAATTCTATTAACATTCACTCAAGCATGACAGTCAGTGTATATCAGATATACTGCATTATAGTTGACTTGGTGCATACCCGTAATACATGGCATATTTTACTTACATTTTTTATGTATTAAAGAACTAAAATTATTAAAGTCAGACAGGAGACAAGCATGGAATAAAAAAAAAATCAACAGAAGAGGAAAATACTACGGAGTTTTTATAATAGCATGAGTAGCTTGTTTGAAATGTACGTGGTGAATTGAAAGAGAGAGATATTTGTGCCTCAAATTAGAAATCAGACAGACAGCGTACTTCAACACACAAAAATGTACACATAACCCACAAACAGTAATAAAAATGCAAATACCCCAAGCAGTTCCCATTTTTCATTAATTGAATCCACTTTTTCAAGGAGATCATTTGGTAGTAAAACACCACTTTTCTTCAGAGCTTCAACCTTACTAAGCAGTTCCATCTTTTTCGGGTGCCTGATTGACATTTCTACATTGTATCTCTAAAATGAAAAGAAATAGATAATATTAGCTACTGTGAAGAGTTTTCTCTATAAAAGATTGAAGTTTAATTCCATGTGCCCAGTTATGATCATGCTCACTATGCCATTTTTTAATTTTATTTTTTTTTTAAGCATGCAACCTTCTCATGACATATCAGAAGAGATTTAGGTACCAAGCACGTAGCCTACTGGGTGATGTATTGATGCAGGCAGTTAGTAATAGATTACATATAGCAATATTCACTCACTAACAATATTCACTTGTACAATTATATTCACTAACACTCTCTCATCTGAAGCTTGATCTGCCTTTGTCTCATTCGAGTCAGTGGTACCTTTTTTTTCAAATACACTGCTTCAGCAAGTAATGCTGAGGTTTTCCATTGAAAAAAAACACCAAACAAACGAGGAAATAACTTAATCATGTTTCCTGTACAGTTTATTTCTTCTTTCTCTCTCATCGTGGATTCTGTCTCATATATAGGCCTGAAATGCTACTACATGTGAAAACATGAGAGTTTCACCTTAGAAAAACAATTAGACATAACTTCTTTACAACACCATACCAGTAACTTGATTTTTATTGCATCAACCAACAGGAGTGAAACGGCATACAAACGAGAACAGCCACAATGCTCATACAGTCCAATAGTTTCTTGAAGATGAAGCTACCTTTTATTTCCTGCACTGTCATTTATTCTTAAAAAAAAAAAAAAAAAAGAGAAAACTGGGATAAACACAGAAGCTTCTTTCAAAATTATTTTAATATGACTTTCTAAATATTTTAGCTGTGTATTACTTATATACTGTACAAAAAAGGTATTCTAATCTACAGACACATTGGTAAATACATCTCTTTAAAACCTGTATTATCTGAAAACCTGAATTAAGTATGAAATATAATAGTTACTATAGTGATTAATTATGCTTTAGTAGCAGGTATAGTAAATCAAAAAATAAAATGTAACATACAGGTGTCTGTTCATATACATACCCTACATATAGTTAAGCTAATTCCCTCTCCCTCTTATATGTAAAACACCCATAGAAATAGAACTACTGCTATGGTAAAAAACGCACCTTTTACTGAAAGAGGAGAGTTCAGCACACATTCTTACAAAGGTGTTTACAAGACATACATAAATTATGCACAGCTATTAGCAAATTGCATCCTAAACATTAAGTTTTCTTTGCTTTATATTTAGCCAAGGAAACTGCTATAGCAGCTCATACTGAAAATGTTAATAACTGGGCTAAGTATAAAAAAATTAAACTAGAGTAAAGAATGTTTAAAACATGGGTGCCTTGGCCAGATCCAAGAACATGCTCTGTAGGAAAACAAAGCAAAAATACAATCGGAGGCAGCTTAAAGAAAATAATAAAGGTGTGAAATCACTGTTTCAGCTAACAGGTCCTCAGCATTTCCATGCATACGTTTGCATATTGTTAGTTTCATATTTTAATCTCTCATTTACACAACACATGCACATCATTTGTATTATGTAAACTTCAGCAAATATTAGTCATTTGTGGATCATAGAGCAAATGTTTTAAATGAGGTGATTTAAACCATTTCTCATTATTAATGAACACTGATCAGGTGCCTGCGTATCCAAAATTACATGAATATGCATAGTAAAAAACAAGGAATTGTTTACAAAGAACTTGCCTTTTGATACTCGGTGTACTGCGGCTAAGGTTTTAGAAACGTGTAACGGTAGGTATCAACCAGGCTTGGCACTAGAGAACTGGATCCGCCAAGAGGCAACACCATTTTACGGGACTAAAATGTTCAACAAGTACGCTGCTCGGTCCTGTATCATTGCCTTTGCAGCTAGAATGGCTACAGGAGGAGATTACAATCTTCTGTATGTAATCTGATTTCTATTTCAAGATGATATAGCTGAAAAGGATTTGCATAATTATTCCTATAAGTGCATGTAATATCAAGGGGAACCCAGAGTCCAGTTTGCTGGGCACTGAAATCCAGTTCGTGCGACTCCCTTTCTTTTGTCAAGTGAATTAATAGACTGAGGGAGTCCTCTAGCTGCATGACGCTGGTGCAGGCACAGCTGCTTAATACTCAGTACCTCTTCTAGGCTGGCTGCTGCTGCTGCCCAGACTGGGGCTGGGTATGTTCCTGGATGGTGCAGGACTGACGAAGAAATAAAATACATCACGTGTTTCATAACTGCGATGCTCTTGCTAACGTAGAAACAGAAGACGTTTCACTGAATTTTGGACTAAAGAAAATAATTCAGTGCAGCGTAATCCAAATAGTGTGACAGATGTTATAAAAGGTTATTACATTAAAAAATAAATAAGCTAGATTTTATGTACGCGCTCTGTCTTTGCCACCATGTAACCTACTGTATAAACAAGCATGATGAAAGTGCTGATTGACAGAAAACACATTATACTGTAACTGTAAAAGATGAAAGAATTCAGTTCATTATTAGATGTATTGGTATGTGACTGAGAGTCAGTATTCTTTCACTCCTGGATATTTAACATGCAGTGTGTATTTTAAGTTAAGGGAAGAGCTTAATGCACAGGAGGTACAGTTTGAGAACCGATAGCACAAGATGCTATTGCTAATGCTATTTTTTAATCCATTAAACACCTACACTCTAAGCAGTTGCATGGAAAAATTAGCTCCTGGCTCTATCAGTGCTGCACAACCCTAGTTTGGTAGGACTACTTAATCCTGTGGTGAGAAGATAATTTAATCTTCAGATTCATTCTTTCCTCAGCTTTAAGTGAGCAAAGACTGCTCCATTGTGACAGTCTGTGGATGCTATGATACAGATTACTGCTAAATAGCCAAAAACGAGATTAAGAAAGTTAAAGTCACAGGTTTCTCGCAACAGCCACAATAATAAATAAATTAGTAATGTTTAATTTCTCACACACCTGTCGTATTCAAAAACTGGGGGAAAACCCCCAAACAACAACATACTGGGAAACCTGCAAAATATTTACAGCCTGATTAGATGTGTGCATGCATGGCTGGTTTTGTGTTCCTGAAGCCACTCAGAAGAAATCCAAAACATTGTTATGTAAGTTAAAGAATTTTGGCTTTTTATTCTTTCTCACTTGACTCGATTGATATTTCTCCAAGGACAGATAGTGGAATTTAAAAAAAGGCAGTAACATTTATCTGTGAATAACTTTGGCAAAAATATTTAAACCACGAGAAGTTCAATTCCAAAACAAAGCAAGTTAAAACCTTACTTCCCCTGACAAAAATATTCTAAGAAACCCAGGCAGGCTTGATTGAGACACATTTTTTGACACTTTATACTAAATTATTCCTTCTTTTTTTCCTTTTTTCCCCCTTTTTTTGTCTGTTTTCTTTAAAAAATTATATAAAACATTTTTTGTGTGAAAAATCACACCCGAAAATTCTGCCCAAATGGAGACTGGAACAATGCCTTGTAACAGTGTTAATTGTCACCATGGAAACCAGAAGAATAAGCCATTTTGAAACTGGTATAGAAGGCACACATTGAGCAACTCAAGCATTTTTCAGCCTCCCTCAGTGTTAAGGAACAAGATGCCTAGTCACTGAGAGGTCAGAGAAAGAAATCATCATGAAAGGTTCGTAGATATGCACTGTCTGGTAAACAATAAAAAAATCTGTACACAGTTAACAACTTGGTAAGACTGCGCACTGCATCTTTCAGAAAGAGAAACACCACAAAAAGATGATCCGGACTGGGGTGCAGATTCCACCCCTTTAGCAAAACTTTAGAGCAATATTATGCAAACCTTGCCCCTAAAGCTCCCTGGGAATTCTGTTGTTGTAATAAAACTTCAGAAGAGGAAAGGAAAAAAAAGAGCCTGCATGATGGAATTCAAAATAATGCTCTAAAAGCACACAGAGAGATTAAGACATCCATTGTAAGACTTTTGTATGGTGCTTCTGTTGGTTATAGTGAAAAGAGACTAGACATACTGAACACACAGTGGAGCTATGGCTACGAAGTACAGAAGAATTAAGCCAGTGAACTTTCTCCATTATTGGAATAAGGGTGTGCTATTTGTGGACGTCCTGCATTCCATCATTCGCACACTAAGAGCGTCTCTTCAGTCGAATGGCACTGTATGATAGATATAACTGAGATCGGAAATGAGTGACCTGTAATTTTAGTTTTACCTGGATTGGACCTCTAAATTTTAAAAACTTGCCTTTTGGAGTGTTTTGACTGCTGCAGACACAAATATACACATGTGTGTTCAGTGTCTGTATGTGCGTGCATAGTCAGCGTCGGTACACATTTGCCACATATGTTGCATGATAAAATTGAGTAAAGAACACCCTGTAAGCAAATTCTCTAAATATGTAATATAAATATATATAAACATATAGCAATGCACATATAGCAGTATTTGTCCATCATCTCTTCAAACACATTCTCACTCTGCTTTCTGGATAATGTTTGCACTCTTCATGCTAGGCTTCATGGTGGCCCCTTAGGAAGCCCATGCCTAATGCCATTCAGTGATGAACAAAGACTCTTTTTATTCCAAAGTCCAGGGTCCAAAGCTCAGCTGTATACAAGCAAGTGAAGGAATCTGCTAGAGGCCAGCCTGCCCTTCACAATAGCTCTTAATGCTTCTACCTTTTTGGTACTATCAGTGTGAAACATTTTAGAAACCATCCAGAAGCTTGGTTATATTTCTTACGCTGTCAATAGCACTAGAACCTCTGGATAACATTCAAGATCTGGGCTGAGAGATCTGTCTAGATAAATAGCAGTTGCTGTTTCTTGCAAACTTCATGTATTTCACTATTAGCAATTTATGGCAAATAATTGCACAGGGAAATTATAAAGACTCCTACAATTGTCCTTGTAAATTAATAATAGGCTTTCTTGATTGGGATAAATTTGCTGCTGAGCCTTTGGAAAAATTAAAAAGTGCAATGTCATTTAAAATTGCCAGAACTCACACAGCAAATTACATCTGAGGTTAAGAATCAGTTTTTCCTCTTCCAG